CACCAGCCGAGCCGAGCCGAGCCGTGCCGAGCCGAGCCGAGCCGAGTTTTAGTAATTGCCCGGAAAAGAGGGTGATGTGCGTAACCTAGCCAACCGACAAGGAATCTATGCCGTATAGCCATTAAGTCCACCTATTCCAGCTCCCTTTCCTACCTCCGAACGAAACGCGCACCAATTCCCCCTCTCAGCCAAATTTCATATTCGAACTGCCGCAACCCCTGTAGGGTAGCCCTACCCGCCATCACCAGAAAAAATTTTTCGCAAATCATGTATGACGCTGGTCCAAAGTAAGCCGAGCCGAGCTTTAGTAACTGCCTGACATACATGTTTTAGCTATGTAAGTTCTGGGGGATACCGCTTAGGCGGGAGCGGGGTTGTAAGTGTCGATGATTCTGTCCTCCCCCCTCCCCCCCCTCCTCACAGGGAGTTTTGGAATGAGGAAGCAATGGGTCACCGGTGGAAGGTCACCTCGGAGGGTCAATGGGCTGCTATGAAAAGGGTGATCCCCTAGATATGAGAGATTCTCGACCAGACGCGGCAAACTCAAAAGAAGGACCAGCGATTTCCGGCAGCGCGATGCGTTGTTCCCCATCGTCGTACCGCGACCGCCGTCATCACCGTTTTCTTCGTTTTCTTTTCTTGTGCGTTTTGTGCTGTGCAACAGCAGCACAAAATGCATATTGTCACGGGATTGTCCGTGTGTGTGTGTGTGCGTGTGTGTGTATGTGTGTGTGCCCCACATTTTGCCCCGCACTTTCAACTCGGGAACCTCAAAAGCTAGGCGACTGAAATTTTAGTATAGTGTTCCACGCCAACGGATGAAGCAGCAAATTTAAATCCAGGCTTCCCGTACCCGCGGATAATACGTACGGCCCCGTAAAAGTTTTTCGGGTAAAATTAGTATCTCAGGAACCACGGAAGGTAGGAAATTGAAATTTTATGAGCATGTCCCCTGTCCACGTGCTACCCAGAAAATTTAAATTCAGCTTTCTCCTGCCCGCGGGTAACAAGTACGGCCCCGCGAAAATTTTTGACGGATAAATTATTGTCTCGGGAACCAAGGAAGCTGAAATTTTAGGGTAGTGACCCCATGCCCACGCTCAACCTTGCCTGTTCAAATTCAGCATTCCCACGCTCTTGGGTATCACCTACGGCTTCGTGTAAATTTTGCCGGGTAAGCTATTAACTCGGGAAAGATATTCACCCTTCAAGGTTTCGAATTCAGCTTTCATGCGCTGGTGCGTGAAATCTTTAACTATTTTCCTATGTTTGAACTGTTTTTGCATAGACAAAAGTACAAAGCAGTGAAAATCATTAATAGGCAATCGTTCGATGGGCTGAATCGCATCAAACGCATGATCGCACCGGCTGTTCTGGTGCACGTTGCTATTTATTTGTGTTTGCAGTCAGTGATCGGATAAACTTTTGATTCGAGATTGTCCGCCTTCGTGTCGTCGATTGCAGGGTTGACCAAAGTAGTTTGTCCTGAATCTGATTGTGGTAGAGTTGCATGTGGGGAGATAGCGTTCTTGTTAAATTTTAGCTCCCTAGCTTTCATGGCTCCCGTGATAACTTTTCCGTCAAAACTTCCACGAGGTACGTGATACCCAAGCACAGCTAAATTTTCTGAGTCGCACTTGGGCAGGGGCATACTCACGAAATTTCAGTCCACTATCTTTCGTGGTTTCCGAGATAGTGATTTTCCCCGCCAAAACTTTTACGGCGATGTACATGTTACTCGCTGGTCGTACGATAGGCTCCCGTGAGTTGCGGACCCGCGGTAGGTGAAGTAGGGATTGGTCGGGAGTGGGTGTTCGTAGGGGGTTCTGTTCTGTCCGACCTCCTGGATCATCCGATCCCTTCTAGGCTTAATCAGACAATATCCCCCGGGCGCCGTTCTTTACAACTAGTGAGCGACCGCTTGGCCAATTTGGGGACATACTTTGAATGATTGCTCTACTCATTGCGGTCGGTTCCATATGTTAATGTGACCGACGGGCGTGATATTGGTGCGCTTGAGCGCGGGAGCATTCCAGTAACATCACTAACATCGGATCCTCTCGCGGAATCTTTTTTTCGGTAGTTTTACTGGTAATTTCCTGGTGGTTTCCTTTTTTCTCAGTAATTTCCTGGTCCTAGTAGTTTTTATCTGTCGCGATTACCACTTTTTATCTTTGATTGTTTTTGTTAGCTCCTCACGTGGCCTTCCACTGCAGCAGCGGAAAACAGCGAGGAATTCTAGCACTTTATTATAAAACGGTGACCCTGTGCGCCGCACGAGCCATTCAGCAGAAGGAGGACGCCAGTCGTGGTGGCCAGTAGTGGCGTTAGTTGGGCAACACATAGTTGTGGGCATGGCAGGACATTGATTCCGAGACTTCGAACCTGGGTTTTTGAAATGGAAAATTTGTATGGGGAAAATTTTGGGAAAAATTATGGGAAAATATGGGGAAAAATTTTGTATGGGGAAAATTAATGAAGGGAAAAGGAGGGCAAGGTAGTCAGTAAGTGAGAAAGTAGGTAATATGGAATTATTTAGAATTTGGTAAAATTGTTAGAAATTAGTGAGTGGAGGGAAGTAGGTCGAAGTGTTAAGAGTTAGTGAGAAGGAGGAATAGGTAGAATTATATGGTTACATTTTTAATCCGCCGTGTCTGCTGCCGGGGGCATCATTGGCTGCGAGTTTGTAACTTAAGTTACTTGAGGTGATTTATTCAAAAATTCACTTTCACTGTTCATTTCGTTCTTTCAGTAATCTCCGTGTTTATTGCTTCACTCCGTATGTGCGTGCGTTTGAACAGTAAATCGTATAAGTGCATTTTATGGGACATTGCCTGAAAATTTCAAATTCCCAGCTTTCTTGGTTCCCGAGATAATAATTTTCCCGATTTGCGGTAAAATTATGAGTACGGGTTCTTCGCTTGGATTTGTCCAAGCACTGTTGGTGTATGCTTGGTGTAAGCAGATCGCTTACAAAATAAGCAGCCATAATGTACGGGTCCTTTCGTTCTCAAGTCTCGCCCAACTTTTCCATGTTTATCACTTTATCACTCAGTAATTCGGCTGCTTCTGCTTTAACAGTTCATTTTGCTCCTCAGTAATCGAGGTTAATTGATCGTTCTATAGGAACGATGATGTATTTCAAAAAAATTCTGAGCGAAAACTAAAGAGAAAGTGAAAAGTATAAAAACTCATTTCATCTGATCTCTTACCTTCCTTTTCATTCTCTTCTTTTCATCCGTTGTTAATATACCTTCCCATTAAATTTGTATAACTGCTGTTCCCATTTCTCCTCAACATTTCTCCTCTTACGAATCCTTAACACTTCGACCTATTTCGCTCGCTCCACTCACTAATTTCTAACAGTTCTACCAAATTCTAAATAATTCCATATTGCCTACTTCCTCACTTTCTCAATAATGGAATCTATTATTGAAGTTTTTCGCGTCATTTTTGAATACGCATTTATTTCGCGCATTGTTTATTTCGTTGTTGCTCAGTTGCTCAGTGAAATGCTTGTCCAGGCTAACAATTACTACAATAATGGCGTGTTTGGACAGTCTGCTGGATGGCAGTGTTGATTGGCAGTTTTTTTACTACGACGCCCGATTGGCTTCGTTCACCGACGAGTGGCCTCATCGCTCCGCTAACTTACTGCCAGAAAAGGTTGGCTGTCTATCGCTTACCTCGAGGTTAACAGGGGAAATCATCGTGATCGCTTAGCAGAAAAAATTTTTCTTTCAGATGGCTGCAGCAGGCTTCTACTACGATCCAGACAACACAGTCAGAGACAATGTCACTTGCCCATTCTGCTTGAAAAGTCTGATGGGCTGGGAATTCGAT